AGTCTCACAGCAACGCATGGGGTATTTTTCTAGTTTGTTGAAAACTAAAGTTATGAATTTAATTCTCTATTTTATGTTAGAATTTAATTCCCTCCTCTACTTACAGGGAGAAAGAGAGAGAAAAGAACGAAATAAACAGAGACGAAACCATAAAAAATTAAAAAAAGAGAGACAAAACCGTAACAGCAGCAAAAAAAAAAGAACCAAATGAATAAAGCGATGGATTGTAAAAGAAAATAAAAACAGATGAAGAAGAACTTTTGGATCGGACTCTTCTCCCTCACCTTATTCGGTTGCGGCTCCTAGTCAGATATCAGGTGTGTTTTTCCTTGGCTCTTGGAACCGACGGGAATTTGAAGATGCAGGACACATAGGAGGACGTTTTGGGGCTGTGTGAAAATAGAATTGAAAAAAGAGAACATGGCATAAAGGAAAAATAGATTATAATAAGATATATTGGAAGATATAGTGGAGTAGGATTTCTATTCAGGTTAGTCAAGATTGGAGGCTTAATATTAGGTATAGATAGATATAGATATTAGATAGAGATTAGGATTCCCATTCAACTTATTTGATATCGCAGAGTTCTATTTGGATTTGGATTTGTAGCTATGCCAAACCTAATTTAATTTAATATTCTACAAACGTTTTATTTCAAAGCCCCGTAGCAACGCGCATGGTATTCTTCTAGTTTGTTGAAAACTAAAGTTATGAATTTAATTTTCTATTTTACATTAGAATTTAATTCCCTCCTCTACTTACCGGGAGAAAGAGAGAAAAAAGAACGAAACAAAAAGAGAAGAAACCGTAAAAAATAAAAAAATAAAACGAAACCGTAACAACAGCGAAAAAAGAACCAAACGGATAAAGCGATGGATTGGAAAAGAAAATAAAAACTCTTCTTCTTCCGCATCGGACTCTTCTCCCTCGCCTTATTCGGTTGCGACTCTCAGATATCAGGTGTATTTTTTTCTTGGCTCTTGGTACCTATGGGAATTTGAGGATGCAGGACCCACAGGAGGACGTTTCGGGGCTGTGTGAAAACAGAATTGGAAAAAAGAGAACATGGTAGAAAGGAAAAATAGATTATAATAAGACTAGTAGTATGTTCGAAGCACATATATGTATTTGTGGTACAGTGGTAGGAATTCGGATGCAAGAAGTAGGTGCTATGTTAGGTGATTAGGTCTGGGTACTCTATGCACGGGTGGCTGCCCTTGTTCTTTTCCACGCTTGTTCAGCATGGAAAATACAGAGTCACCACAAGCAGACAGATGACACATGGTCTTTTCCACGCTTATTATATATATATATATATATATATATATATATATATATATATATATCTTGAGATCGGACTCTAAAGCCTTCTTTGGCACGGCTCATCCAAAACGGTTTCACCGGTGAAGCCAGAAAAATTGGCTTTTCCCGGCTTCTAGTTCATTTTAACCCTGGCTTACAAAACAGCTTCACGCTACAGTGCCTCAATTTGCGCAAAATAGATGAAGCCGAAGCCGGCATAAGCCGTGTCAAAGAGGCCCTAAGTAGTGTTTGAGATTGCATCATAGGTTTAAATTCGTCTTTGAATCAAACTTTATACCATGTGTGAGGGAAACATTCCGTGTTCGCTCGCACTGATGAAAAGAAAGACGCTTGAGATGCTTTGACATTTATCCAATGACACTGTGTATTTCAATTTATCTTGAGATCAGACTCTTAAGTAGTGTTTGAGATTGCATCATAGGTTTAAATTTGTCCTTAAATCAATCTTTATACCGTGTGTGAGAGAAACACTCGGTGTTCGCTCGCATGGATGAAAAGCAAACGCAAAGGAATTAAGTGAATCCTATTGTAACCTTTCCTTCCTCTTTGTTTTTTTTCCTTTTTCTTTTTTGTTTCCGTTTTTTATTTCCTTTTCTTTTTTTCGTTTTTTCTTTTCCTACCTAGTTTTGAAAAGAAAACGCAAAGGAATTGAGTGAATCCTATCATAACCTTTCCTTCCTCTTTGTTTTTTTTTTGTTTTCCTTTTTTTTTGTTTCCGTTTTTTATTTCCTTTTCTTTTTGTTTTACACTTTTCTTTTCCTACCTAGTTTTCGTTCACCTCTCGGTCGCTTTGGTTTGGTTCCTTGTTTTTTATTTTTTCCTTTTAATTTTTTGTTTTCTATTTTTTATTTCCTTTTTAGTTTTTCTTTTCCTAGTTTCCATTCACCTCTCCGTAGTTTTGGTTTTGGTTCCTTTTGTGTACGTTTTTCTTTCTCCATTTTTTTCTTCGACTCTGTTATTTTTGTTTTCTGTTCTGTTTTCTTTTTTGGTTTTTCTATTTGCTTTGTTGTTAGTTTCCCGTTCCATCCTCTACACGTGCGGTTGGTTTGTGTTAGTTTAAGTCTTTTTCCGTCTCCTCTCCCTGTTCTAATTTCTTCTAAGAAATCTACTCCGATTATGATTCGTAACTATTCACATTACTAAAAAACTTATGTCCAAATGTTATATATAAAACATAACAGTAGAGACCAATCAAAATAGTTTTCATATTTTCGAAGTTAGTTAGGGGACGATGGGTGAAAAAATGGCCAGAAATTTTCTCTTTAGTATTTTTATTAGTATTAAGTATAGGAGCAGCTTATTTGATATCGCATAGTTCTATTTGGATTTGGATTTGTAGCTATCCCGAACCTATATCATATAAATCGGGAGAGCTATAGATAACACGGAGTTAGTTAGAAGGACGTGGACGAAAAAAAGGATGAACGAAAAAAGGCGACAAACCATGTACACGATTAATATATTGCTGAAATTTTATATTATTTTTTAGTATATTAATGACCTCAAATAAAAAACTCAAAATTAGAAAGCTGTAGATCTCATCGAGAAGTACAACTTTATATCAAAAATACAAGAAAGATACGATTTTTTAAGGCGACAAACTCTGGTACGCGATTAATATGTTGCTGAAAATTTATATTTATTTTTAGCTTCTTAACGATCTCAAATGGAAAAAGTTGTAGGTCCCATCAAGGACTACAATTTTCATATAAAAATCATCTTCATCCAAGGTCATATAAAAAGATACGATTTTTCTAAGGTGGAGTCTTGCCGCTGACATGTGAGTCTCATTTGTTAGATCCATACCCCGTAGGATGGTGAGTCGGTCAAACGTCTATTTGGATCTGGATGAAATCCGTTACAACTTCAGAGAGACAAAAGTGTATTTTGGGATTTTAGGCTCCTAGACGACACCTTCGAACAACTTAAAGGATCTTTGGTGAATTTTTTGCCTGTGACCCTGCTACTTTGATACGCCGCCCTCTCCAGATTCATAAAAAAAACATTGTTTGCTCAACCTTTCCTATCACTATCATGGAGTGTCATTGCTCGTTCAACCTTTCCTATGTTCGTCAACATTGGTCGCTCAAAATCCAAAATGAGGCGTACTTCTGAAAAAAGTTTAAAAAACCATTTTGGAAGATTTCACCACTAAAAACCAAACCAGCTCAACAGTTGGCAAAGTAAAAAAAAAACAAGGTCAACATAAGGTGAGCCCTCAATTCTTGCATCAAATTTGAATACGCAATTCAAATCCGTGCATTTAAAGTTTGTATCATGCTACAGGTTTATTTTGATTGTTGAGTGAAGTTTGACTTTTGAATTTAATTAAAATTTGAACACTACCCATTTAAACTTAATATTAAACCTGTATATCTATCTAAATTTCTAAAGCTAGCCAGGCCTAAACCACACTAAGCCCGTCCTACCCTTACGCACAACTACTCCTATCAATCTGGCGCATGAAACATAGCCCAACAATTTTAGAAGAAGGCACTCACTCAAAATCTCCTCCAACAACTCTGTTTCTACAGTTTCCTTGTGGTGCAATCTGTCCACTCGATTTTAAGTCCTCGACTTAGCATGGGTGCTCGCATTTTCCTGGTTTATTCCAGGATTTAACGGCATTGTGTGCTTTTCAGTGGTAGGCGACGTGTCTGTCGACAGCGAGGCGCTTGTGGTGACTTCGCCAATTTTGAGATGTGCTGGCATAGTCTTTCGGAGGTGCTCATAAGTGCGTACGCGTGTTCATAGAGGTGAGTGTGCGTGTGTGTTAAGCTAATTCGTAAAAAAAAATTATCCTAAGACAAAAACCAATAAAAACTAATCTCACTCGTGTATAAATTGCTCTCTCTCTCTCTGCTCATTAGTGAGGCGGACTGGGCTTTGGGTTCGAGGCTGCTACGGACGGCCCGGCCCATACAGCATCATTGGATAACATAATCGCAAGAGCTCATTCGATTTTTTCTAGGAACGCATTGCTTCAATTTGTATTTGGACTTGGTCCATAGATCTAGCCAGGACTGGCTTGTAAGGAACTGCTCTATTCTGAATGACAATTTGCAGCGACAGTCGAGGATCTACAATTAAATAAACTCAATTAAAACAGATGCAAAATTTCAACTCGATTCAACACAACACAAACACAAGCTCGCGTGATTACTGACTTCAACACTAAATAAATACAACACCTTGGTAAAATTATTCTAGTAGACTGGTACAATCCCTTGCTGACTCCTGTTACAATATACTTGTATACCAAGCCCATGTTTAGTTCGCGAAATTTGGATTTTGGGGCTACTGTAGCACCTTCGTTTTTATTTGGCAAATAGTGTTCAAACATGGACTAATTAGGCTCAAAACGTTCGTCTCGCAATTTCCCACCAAACTGTGCAATTAGTTTTTCTTTTCGTCTACATTTAATGCTCCATGCACGAGCCGCAAACATTCGATGTGACAGGTACTGTAGCAATTTTTTGGAATTTTGGGTGGAACTAAACAAGGCGCAAATCAAGAAAAGAAAAAGAGGACCTTTTTTCTTTATATTATATGAAAAGAAGACGCAATGCCGGATCCAACGGGCGAACCATGCATGCAGAGAAGTAACACATCAGCCGATCAGCGCCTAACCACACCTGGCCTACTCGGCATCTCACCGACGACGCTTCCCGGCTTAGCTAGCCCTTCATGACGACGCCACCGAGTGCGATGATGGCAACAAGAGGCACGGCGGAGGCGCAGACGACGCTCACGCGGAATGCGCGACCGCGGGCTCGGCCTCGCTGTTGCTGGCCGGAGCTGTCCAGCCAGCAGGCGGTGCCGACTTCGGCCAGCCCGGCAGCGAAAATTCCGGCGAGGGTGGCGTAGTAAGCAAACCTGTGCTGCTCGAAGACCACTCCGTGCGGCGGTCTGTAGAACGCGGTGCCTGCATCCATGACCAGCGTGGCCAAGCCTGACGCGCACAGCCAACGCTGGAGCTGCTTCGAGTTGTCGCTGCCGACTTCAGCAACCATAGCTTCGCTTGGGCTTATGCCGATCGAGACGGCACCGTCGTGGTCTCCGTTGGTGCGGAGCTGCAGGGTGCTCGACATGGCGGCGGCGCTTGCTGTGTGTGTGGGAGATGGGGGCAACGAGGGCGGTATTTATTCAGGGGGGTCGTCGGTTGTATAAGTTCCCTCCGTCGTCGCTATCGTTCCCTTCCGTCGTCCGTATAAGTTTGCTACCTCGTCGCTTTCCTTCCCGTCGTCGCTATCGTTCCCTTCCGGTAGTGGTTTGGAGTTAAGACAAGCCACGAGAAGAAGAGTGGCTGAAGCTGGGCCGTGAAGCTTTTGGACGTCTTGGGCCTCGTGTTCGCTGAATTGGGCCTGCGTGCCTGTATCGGATTACCGAGGGGAAGGGCATCGAACCAGACTTGTAACCGTCTTCCAACAAACTCTGTCTGAACCTTTCCCCTGTTGCTGTTCTTGCTTTTACCCGGGATTCCCTGCTCTTCTTGTACCCAAATCTATTCCTTTTGATTGAATCTATCCAGTTATCTTGGTTCGCATCATATTGGTGATCCCAGTTCGTGACAATTGGTATTCGGAGCCGAGTCGCATCGGGGGCAATTTTTGTTTCCCGACGTTCTTGACGAACTGGCGCCCAAGATTTCCTAGTTTCAGCAGAAGATGGCGACCTCCGTTGATGGGGTGGACTCGAAGGTGGACAAGCTCTTCAAGCAGCTAGAGATTTCCAGGAGATGATGGATAAGCTTAGCGGCTTGGAGATGTGGCGCAGCGACGCGGACAAGTCGTTCGGTACGCTGCTCCAACGGGCTTCGAACATCTCCATCGACATGGGGTTGGCCGCAGCGTGGTTGGAGCGATTGGAGGCGCGACCGGCGCCACCGCCACCACCACCGCCACCGCCTCCGCCCTCGAAGACCTTACCGCTTCCTCCCGCGGCAGCGGTGCTTCCTCACGTGGTTCAGCCGGCGCACAACGTGCTGGATCTGAACCGTGCTCCAAGTCTCTCGCCGCACCCATCTGCGTCGAGCGGGGAGCAACCGCCCAACGGGCACTGCACGCCTGGCGAGGGGGTGTTGGGACCCTACTCGCCACCGCACCCTTAGGGTACGTTCAATGATCCCCCTCAACCGTCTTGCCATACGCATGATGATTCCGCATCTTCCTATCCGCGTGCTCCTTTTCCCAAGCTTGATTTCCCTAAGCTTGCTGGTGAGAATCCGAGGCTTTGGCGTGACCAGTGTGAAATGTATTTCGAGGTTTATGTTGTTCACCCTGCGTTGAAGACACGGTGTGCGGCGCTCAATTTCATTGCCCCTGTGTCGACATGGCTTCAGACAATGGAATGTCGTGGGTGTATTGTTGATTGGTCAAAGCTCTGTGAGTTGGTGTTCGCGAAGTATGACAAGGATCAATACTCTTTGATGTTGAGACAATTAGATGCTCTGAAGCAGTCAGGCTCTGTGACAGAGTATCAGCATCATTTTGAGGAGCTAGCTCATGGTATTATCTTGTACAATCCTGTATTTGATGATAGTTATCTGGTTACTCGGTTTCTTGGAGGCCTGAGAGAGGAGATCAGGTCGGCTATCACCTTGCACCGACCAAAGGATGTCGACACAGCAAGTGCTTTAGCTCTGTTGCAGGAAGAGGAATTGGAGAATGCAAGGAAAAAGATAACAACCAAGGATCAGAACAGGCATGGTTTCAGACCCTTCACTCCAGCAGATAAACCCAAGGCAGCTGAGCCTGACAAATTGAAGTTGAAGCCTGCTGATGATAAGTTGGGTTCTTTGAAAGCTTACAGAAGGCAAAATGGACTATGTTTCAGATGTGGAGAGAAGTCGGGCCCTGGACGTAAGTGCCCAGCTTAGATTTCTATTCATGTAGTAGAAGAATTGTTGGATGCTTTGGATGATGAGAGCTCCCCTGACAGTCTTTCTGCTGAAGAATCCAGTGAGCTAGATGGGGTTCTGGCTATTGGTGACAAAACAGATCATTGTCAGCATAAAAGAAAGACTATGAGACTGAGTGGCTTCATTGGTAGCATGGAGATTTTGATTTTGGTGGACTCTGGTAGTGTTGGTTCCTTCATCAGTTCAAATGTGGCTGCTCAATTGAAGAATCAGCTACAAGACTGCCAAGAGGCACAATATGTGACTGCTGATGTTTCACCAATGGTGTGCTCTAAAAGGATTCCCAATCTTACTTGGTCCACTCAAGGCCACACATTCACATCTTCTGTTGGAGTTTTGCCTCTGAGATGCTATGATATGATCCTTGGAGTGGATTGGCTGGAACATTGCAGTCCAATGTGGGTGCATTGGACCAAAAAGATCATGCGGTTTATGCATAATGACACTAGAATAACTCTGAGAGGCGTTAGACAAGAAGTTACAAAGTGTTCTGCAGTCAGTGCTGGTAGATTCAAGGGATTATTGAGAAGACAAGCAGCTACTCATTGCATTTAGCTTTTACCAAGTACTCATCCACAGTCAGCCAGTACAGATATAGTCACTACTGAATCAGTTAACTCTCAGTTGTGTTCTATACAGCAGTTTGATGTACCTGTTGAAATTTAGCACCTGCTACACAAGTATGAAGATATCTTCAGAGAACCAACTGAACTACCCCCCAAGAGACCTTGTGATCATCACATCACACTCATGCCTGGAGCTCAGCCTATCATGTGAGGCCATATAGGTATGGTCCAACTCAGAAAACTGAAATTGAGAGACAGTTAACTGAAATGATGCAGCATGGCATAATCAAACCCAGTACCAGTCCTTATGCATCTCCAGTACTTCTTGCGAAGAAAAAAGATGGTAGTTGGCGATTTTGTGTGGACTATAGGCACTTGAATGCTATTACAATCAAGAATAAGCATCCCTTGCCTATAGTGGATGAATTGATAGATGAACTGCATGGAGCCAAATGGTTTTCAAAACTTGACTTTCGTTCAAGTTATCATCAGATATGTATTTCTGAGCAAGGCACTCACAAGACTGCCTTTAAGACACACAATGGATTGTATGAGTTTCTTGTGATGCCATTTGGGCTTACAAATGCCCCAGCAACCTTCCAGAGTGTCATGAACACATTGTTTGCATCTTTACTGAGGAAAGGGGTCCTAATCTTTATGGATGATATTCTGATATATTCAAGTACTATGGAAGAACACTGTGTTTTGTTGACTAAAGTATTTGACATCATTAGAGAGCATCAATTCTTTGTCAAGCTCAGTAAATGTTCTTTTGCTCAGCAAGAGATTGAGTATCTGGGGCATTGTATTTCAGCAGCTGGGGTAGCTACAGAGCCCTCTAAAGTACAGGCAGTCCAGCATTGGCCAGTCCCAAGAAATTTGAAAGAATTAAGGGGCTTCTTAAGATTGACTGGCTATTACAGAAAATTTATAAGAAATTATCGGATGATAAGTAGACCACTAATTGAGTTATTGAAGAAAGGAGTCCCATATGTTTGGTCACCAATCACTCAGGTAGCATTTCTCCTGTTGAAGCAAGCTTTAGTACAAGCACCTGTTTTAGCAATTCCTGATTTCAGCAAGGAGTTCATATTGGAAACAGATGCTAGTGAGAATGGGTTTGGAGCTGTATTGATGCAAAGTGGCCACCCAATTGCTTATTTGAGCAAACCAGTTTGTGCCAAAAATCAGGGTTTGTCAACATATGAAAAGGAATGTATGGCAATCATTATGGCTGTAGATAAGTGGAGATCTTACTTGCATCATCAGAAGTTTGTAATCAAGACTGATCACAGGAGTTTGCTGTTTTTGACTGAACAGAGAGCAAATACCAAACTTCAACAAAAAGCTTTTTTAAAATTGATGGATCTCCAGTTCACAATTCAGTATAGGCAGGGTTCTACCAATATGGCAGCAGATGCCCTGTCCAGATACCCTTTTTGTGACACGGTTTGTGCTGTGTCAGCTTGTACACCAGCTTGGATAACAAATTTGGTTCTGGAGTACTGCAATGATCCAATGGCAGTGAAGTTACTTGAACAGTTAGCTGTGTCTCAGTCAAGTGACCAGGGATATACATTGAAAGATAGTGTTATCAGATTTAAAGGAAGAATTTGGGTGGAAAACAATGCTTTAGCCCAGCAACATATTGTTCAGTCCCTTCATAGCAGTGGGCTTGGGGCACACTCAAGGCTACATGCTACCTATCAGAGGATAAAGAACCTGTTTGCTTGGCCAAAGATGAAGGATACTGTGAAAGCTTTTGTTCAGGCTTGTGAGGTATGCCAGCAGGCTAAAGCTGAAAGGGTGAGACTCCCTAGGTTACTTGCACCATTACCAGTTCCTGATCAAGCTTGGTCTGTGGTCAGCTTGGATTTTGTGGAGGGGCTACCCACATCAAATAGATTTAATACAATTCTTGTGGTGGTTGATAAGTTCACCAAGTATGGGCACTTTGTTCCCTTAGCCTATCCCTTCACAGCTCTCCAAGTAGCTCAAGTCTATATGGATAACATATACAAACTGCATGGTTTGCCTCAGGTATTGATCTCAGATCATGATAGAATCTTCACAAGCACTGTATGGCAGCATTTGTTTAAGTTATCAGATACTCAGCTGCACATGAGTTCTTCTTAACATCCTAAGTCTGATGGTTAGACTGAGCGCTTGAATCAGTGCTTAGAAGCTTTTCTGCGCTGCTCAGTTCAGTCCTGTCCCAAGCAGTGGAGCAAGTGGCTCCCTTTAGCAGAGTATTGGTATAATACCTCTTACCATATAGCTCTGGAGAGAACACCATTTGAAGTGCTTTATGGACATGAGCCCAGACATTTTGGCATCAGTAGTAGTGATGTCTGTCATCTCACTGAACTTGAGGAATGGTTGACTGAGAGAGAGTTGCTGAATTAGGTCATTCAACAGCAGTTGACCAGGGCTAGTCAAAGGATGAAGCATCAAGCAGACAAGCATAGATCTGAAAGGGAGTTTGCAGTTGGAGATTCTGTTTATCTGAAATTTCAACCTTACATTCAGACAACTGTAGTAGCTCGATCAAATCAGAAGTTGGCATACAAATACTTTGGGCCATTCAAAGTTCTCTAGAAGATTGGTCAGGTGGCATACAAACTTGACTTGCCTGAGGCCGCTAAGATTCACCCAGTTATTCATGTATCATAGTTGAAACGTCATGTCCCACCAGCTGAGATTGTGTCGGAGGAGTTGATTGATCCAGCATCTGTATTGCTCCCTCTACACCTCATTAACAGGCGCCAAGTCAACAAAGGTACTTCTACTCACACCGAGTTGTAGGTGCAATGGTCGGGGCTGCCGGAGAAGTTGACAACATGGGAGGAGGCGTATGATCTTCGATGTCGCTTCCTAGATGCTCCAGGTTGGGGACAAGCTGGATTTGAAGGGGTGGGCACTGTTATGTGCCGGGCAAGGAACAGGAAGACAAAGCACGAGAAGAAGAGTGGCTGATGCTGGGTCGTGAAGCTTCTGGGCATTTTGGGCCTTGTGTTCGCTGAATTGGGCCCGCGTGCCTGTATCGGGTGTATAAAGCCCTGTATTACCGAGGGGAAGGGCATCGAACGAGACTTGTAACTGTTTTCCAACAAACTCTGTCTGAACCCTTCCCCTGTTGTTGTTCTTTCTTCTACCTAGGATTCCCTGCTCTTCTTGTACCCAAATCTATCCCTTCTGATTGAATCTATCCAATTATCTTGGTTCGTATCATATTGGTGATCCTAGTTTGTGACATGTGCATTCTTCGTCTTTGTACAGGCGGGGGGATACGGTCTCACCACTAGGAGAGGGGAGTATATAGATGTCCATGTAACCCGAGGCACGACAGCCCGACCCAAAGGCTGTTTTTTGGCCCAGCCTGAGCCCGGCTCGGCCCGGTGTCCAGCGTGCCTGGGCCGGCCTGGCCCAAAGGAGTAATTCGTGTTTGGGCCTTACCCCAGGCACACCGTGCAGGCCCGGCCTACAACGGGTGGTTCGGTGGCGGCTCGGCCTACCAACCCTTCCTCCTCACTCCATCGTATATAAGCGGCTACTGTGGCTCCCCTCTCTTCCTACCCAAACCCTAATCATTTGCTAACCCTCCACCACGCCGTTCTCTGCTTGTCCCTTGCTTGCATCCACTAGTGGCGAATCAGAGCTCTCGTCCCCGTCATCCCCAACTCCGGTGACCTTGACCTATTCGATCCGCCTGCCGCCGCTCCTCCATCTCACCCTGTCTCCTCTAACTATCTCCTTTCTTCTCCCTGTCCCTTCTCTCGACCTCTCGGTGAACTATGTGAGTTCGTGTTCCTGTCCGTCCCTCCTCCGCTGCTCGCCGTCTTTTCTAGTTGCTATCTCTCCTCTAGGTGGCCCTCGTCATCTTTGGCACCGGGCTCCAGTTGCGCAGGTATCTCCAGGAACCCTAACCCTAACCATAGATCTGTCTGTGATTTGTCTCTCTGACCCTAGATCTCTCTCAGATATGTTCATTTGTTTATCTCCTTTGCTCAAGTCGGTTGTTGATGCCTCATTCTCTTGCTCTGGCATAGAGCGGTTGTTGGTATTTCTTAATGCATATAGAAATATTTTGCAAGCGCACGGATTTACTGTTGTAGCATTTCACCCGAAAGTATTCAAGGTATCATTAATTTATATTTTTCCAAAGGAAGACATGGTGTAAAAGTATCTAATTGGTGCATGAACAAGATAACATGACTGTATAATATTCCAATGTTCATAACAGGGGTAAGCTAGGATAGGAATTTGGATAGTGTGACACACACTCAAGCCAATCTCAAGGATAAAGACAAACAAAAAATAAAGAATAAAAGAATGATTCTGACGGGAGCAGGCTTATCCTAATGTTGCTATGCTAAAGTTAGCACATAATCATACAAATACATGGATATGACTTAGCTCTAAGCACCCAGGCACTGGGGGACCAAACGAGCATTGGTCTGCCAGCAAGCGCGTAAGGCAATTTACGAACTCCTACACTGTACCTGAGCGTGGAGAGTACAAGCGACAGATAGGGTTGTCACCACCTGCCACCTACCCACTCTTTCGTGGAGCACAGTCATATTCATTGGTTCCCGATATACCCGAGCACCATGCCCGTGTATATGTAAACTACCTCAGTGAAGGCGGCACCGAGCAAGAAGGATCGGCCCTTACTGGCGGTGGCATCAACTTTAAAGTTGAATGCAATTTGGCAATTTTTGAATAGCTTCAATCTTTTAAAGTTGAATGCCAACTATTAAAAACTATATTATATATCATTTGGAAATTTTGAAATTAACATATTTAACCATATTAACTTAATGAAATTTGGTTATACGAAAATTTATTTTTTTTCTTTTATATCATTATGAATACTAAAACTAGTATCACTAGTCATTATTCTTCAATAGTTTCAATGCTATATATTAATAACTTTTATATAGTCCACCTGCTAGTACTATATTCTTTACATATATGGATATGAAATCA